GAGAGAGAGAGAGAGAGAGAGAGAGAATCCCAAGCAGGCTCAGTACTGTCAGCACAAGCCTGACACAGGGCTTGATCCCACTACTATGGGCTCATGACCCGAGCTGAAATCAAGAGGCGGATGCTTAACTAACTGAGCCACCAAGGCGCCCCTATGATTAGATTCTTAAGAAGGCTAAATACATACTCAAGAAAGAGCCTGAAGTTGGAAGAAAAAGTTCAGGTCAAAGTGAAAATTGATAGGCTTTTTACACTAAGCATGCTTCTACTTTATTTACTTAAAAGCAAAATACAGATGAAGAATTCACTATAGCTTGGGAAATGAATGACGATCTTCTTCTCCCCACAATTCCTCACAGAAGACAGTTAGGGTTTCAAGTACATTTAAAACCTGGCAAACACAGATAGATGACTTACTGGAATCACCATAATGTTCCTCTCCAGGAAGATCTTATCAGCCTCTGGAGTTGTCGGCCCATTGGCACCCTCAGCAATGATCTGCAAGAGAGTCAGGACATACAGAAATACCAACATCACCACAAACCCCTCCAGCAGGTGCAAGAGGTGTGTGTGTGTATGGGCAGGGGGAAGGGCAGGGGAGTGGGGGCGGGAAGAGGCAGAACTCCAGTTTGAATGCAATTATTAAGAGTTATTTTGTTCTATAAAGCGTATACAATTATTTTTCACCTTTCTATTTTCCTAACTGCTTTTTGGAAGCTTGGTTTAAGAGGAAACTCATGGTGATGGATGCCTGCATAACTGTGAATATATGAAAAGCTATGAAATTTTACACTTGGGTGAACTGTATGGTATGTGAATTATATCCCAATAAAGGTGTGAAAAAAAGGAAAGCCAACTAAGAGCTTTTCTATGACCCTCAGGGCATTCTACATTGGTAAGGCTGAGCTCAGGTTCTATAATGCTCTCACCTTGGCTTTGACTCTGGGTGCATTGGACTTGGTCAGCTGCTTCTCGCTGGCAGCAGGGATCAGTATGTCACAGTCAGCCTCCAAGATGCTCCCTTCATAGGGTTTTGCCTTGGGGAAGCCCAGGATTGATCCATGTTGCTGAAATTGATTGAAAAATCAGAATTAATGGCTACATCACTGTTTAAATGTTTATGTTTAGAGCCTATGACATGAAGACTCATCTATTAAGAGCTCTTTGGGTTACATTTTATTATTATTATTATTATTATTTTCAACGTTTATTTATTTTTGGGACAGAGAGAGACAGAGCATGAACGGGGGAGGGGCAGAGAGAGAGGGAGACACAGAATCAGAAACAGGCTCCAGGCTCTGAGCCATCAGCCCAGAGCCCGACGCGGGGCTCGAACTCACGGACCGCGAGATCGTGACCTGGCTGAAGTCGGACGCTTAACCGACTGCGCCACCCAGGCACCCCTCTTTGGGTTACATTTTAAAAAGTAAACAATGGAAATAGATTTTAATAAGACTTATTTCAACTTTACAATATTCAGGGTAGTCAGACTATTGAGATATTAGATTGACATACCAATTTGAAGTCTTCCAGTTCCTTTGGGTCAATACCATCTGGATTCCATATGCTCCCATCAGATTCACCAACACCAATACATTTAGCACCGAAACGATGTAAATATCTCATAGAGTGCAGGCCCACATTCCCAAATCCCTGTAAAGAACAATTACACGTGATATAGAAACTGAAGTCTTAGTGCACATGGTAAAGTCGATTCTGACCAGTACCCTTTCTGTAAGTTTAGGAAGAATTCTCAGAATCCTTTGCCATAAGAAACAATGTACTAAATGGCTTCTCTTTAGCAATTTGTTTCAGAACATGGAACCCATTAATTTGTGATAATGGGTCCCAAAGAACTTTAGTTTGGTGCAGCCTTGTGGCTTATAAAGAACTGGCAGTGGTCAGTCATGCCACCCAAATCCTCAGGCCCTGATGACCAGGTGTCCTATGGCTGCAACAACATAAAGTCACTCACTGGGAGGCATATGAATTCTATTCTATTTCAAAATAGGATTCAAAAACAAAAATAAAAAAGTAGCATTCAACTTAATTTAGATTCCACTCAATAAAATATCCAAATAGCAAGCCCATTCTTCCTCAAAGTTGAAATATTCAACTTTTAATTCAAAGTTTAAATTTCAATTTAAATTTTGACCCAAAGAAGTTGGTGATAGTTTCATATGTATCTGCAAGATACTTAAATTGGTACTAGTCACACGAATTATACCAAGGTTCAAAAAATAAGGCATGTATTACTCTGAAAACATTCACTCTAGAATTTAAAAGATTCAAAAGAATGACATTTTAAAAACTGTAAATCTAAAAACACTGAAAAACTTCCTTTATGTAGATCAGTTATTCTTTAAAAAAGCAAACATTCTTACCTGAACAACAAACGTTTTGTCTCCAAACCCTGGTGTCATTCCTAAAATACTCATGTAAGAAGCTTCATTGATGAAGTTTTCAATTCCATGGAAAACTCCCCGGCCAGTAGCAGAGATCCGTCCATGGATTCCACCCTGACTGATGGGCTTACCAGTAACACAGGCATGGGCATTAATATCCTGCAAGAAAAAGTCAAGATGTCACATTTCTAACTAATATGCTCATTAAGACTATGTGTGTGCTCATGGTACACATTCACCAATAGGGAGAAAACTTACTTTTTCAGATTTCTATTCTTAGAAAATATATAATAAAATAGACTATATTGTCCAATGGGATAAACAAGGTTTTTAGGAATTTAACATCATCAAGTACAAATAATAATATCACAAAACTAGAGATAGTTCTGCTTAAAATATTATTCCCTCAAAAATATTTAAGCCCTATTAAGTTGGAGTACACATCTCACATGTGTCTTAAAATCTACTATAAAACTTGAGCTCGTCACCAAAATGGAGCCTAAGTAGGAAGAGATATTATGGTGTTCTCGGTTAGATGGGAACACTCGATATGGTTAAGATACTCTTCTGCTCAACTAATTTAGAAATTCAATAAAATGCCACTTAAAAAAAAAAAGAACTTTATTTTTTAAAAATGTTTATTTCTGAGAGAGAGAGAGAGAGAGAATGAGCACAAGCAGGGGAGGGGCAGAGAGACAGAGGGAGACACAGAATCTGAAGCAGGCTCCAGGCTCTGAGCTGTCAGTGCAGAGCCTGATGCGGGGCTTGAACTCACCAACTGTGAGATCATGACCTGAGTTGAAGTCGGATGCTTAACCGACTGAGCCACCCAGGCGCCCCTAAAAAAAAAAAGAACTTTAAAAGATAATATTCGAGTTCAAATAAGAGTGGATTAACAAAAGTATTCAAGAAATTAAAAAAAAAAAAGACAAAATAACTAAGGGGTTTGCAGGAATACCTACCAAATAAAAATAACCATTAATCCAAAGATTCTACTTCTAGGAAGTCACATTTTTTTGTGCACTTAGTATGGTATCGTTGGGGTTAGGGAAGCAGAAAGGTATATGTGGGTGAGACGGAGCCGCTCCTGCCTACACCGTGAGGGGAGGGCCTCTGGTGGCAGCAGTGTGCTCTGGGAAGCAGGGTGGGAGAGGATCTGTCTTCACCACCCGTCTTTCTGTAGTCTGTGAACTGACCATGTATTCTTGTTCAGAAACAACCGTAATTAGGAAAATGAAAGGGCTTGGGAGAGCGTCCTTTCCGAGGTATATCAAATATACCGTCAACTGTATCAGCCAGAACAGTGCAGGAGAGACAGATTGATCAGTGGGGCAGAAGAAACTAGACAGTCCTACCACATACAGGAAACCAACACAAAATGAAGGAGGTGTTTCAAATTCGTGGACAAAGTATGGATGGTATGGCTACTTAATAAACTCGTGGGGCACTCTGTTACCCATGTAAAGTAAGATGAAGTGCCTTACTTCACACCATAGTCCTACCCTCCAATAGATGTTCTAGCTGGGTGAGTTAAAAAGTGACCTGGATTTTATCTGTATTGTTTAACTATTTTTACCAAGACAACTTAGAATTATATTAGCTGCATAACTGCCAGCAAAAAGAATAAAAGCTAAAAAAAGAGAAAGTAGTTAGTAAAGTGATTTACAGAAATTAGTAGTTTTCCCACAGTTTGCCTTCATGAATAATTAACACTTGCGAACGCAGAATTACACACCTAGTGCCAAATGCTTTTAAACAGTGCAAATGCAAATGCTGGAGCCACAGTCCTGTAGCGGTCAGGCCCGGTGCCAGCTGCCCAGCTCCCCAGCCCCCCAGCCCACCTGACTGTCCCGGGAGCCCACCGACAAAACCCCTCCCTCCCAGGCCTGTGCCTCTGGGCAGGATTAGACACAAGTTGCAGCATGTTCAGGTCTACATCTGGAAATCAAAAAAACTGTAGCTTCCTTACTTTTAGGCCCTGATTTTGGTGTCACTTTAAGAAGGAAGTCTTTTGCCGGGGTTTGCTGGCAGAGCCTCACAAAATTTCCTTTTGTTGTTAACCACTGGGAATGAGCCACAAATAATGTTTGATATGTGGCCCACTACTCTGCACTCTTCAGTCTAGCGTCTCGCTTAAAAAGAATGAGAGACCATATCCAGAACTCATTTAACATCAAAAGGTGACATGGAAAAGCATCATTTTAGGGAGAGGCAGTTGAAATAAAAATTCTTTCAAGAGTCTCATACTGCTCCTGTTTCATTTCAGGGATTTATGCAATTCACCTGATGTAATACTGTGTGTTTTACTAAGGAGTGGGTGCTGTTCTAAGTGCATTATATTACTAGCCACTTAACCCCCACTGGGTGCTATTACATTGTCGTCTTACACACGAGGAGACGGAGGCACAGAGAGCTCTAGGCACCTGTCATGGGTCACAGAGCTGGTGTGTGAGGGAGCCTGAGAATCCAGGCTGCCCACCCGTGTTCCCACCCACAGACTGCACTCCCTCAGAAATTCAGACATCAGCCCGGGTCTGAATTCCTCCCCTGCATGCTGCAGCCCCCTTCCTTCTTCTGAGGGAATATTTCTCTTCTCCAAGGCTCATCTTTCCACTAAGGCCCTTAAAAGGAAAATTCATGAGGACTTGTTCCCTTGGAAGATTCTGCTACCTCTACTGTTCACACCTTTCTCCCATCGTCTCTCACATGGAGGAATCTGGGGCCATAGCCAGTCAACTTGCCAACAAAACAACAAAAACCTTTCTCTTTGGGCAACAGCCACATTTCAAGTCTTCTCTCTGCTGTCCAGTGCCATTCTTCTCAGGGAAGGCTACTCTTCATGCCCTACTTCCCTCTCTCAACACCCCCTTGCAGCCTGGCTCCAATCTCCGTCCCATGAATGATCTAGTTGCTGAACTGGTCTCTTCCCAGAAACCCCTCCCTTAACATCACCACATGGAACTCTCAGCACTTCTCATTCTTCTATGACTGACTGCTTTCCCTCTAAATCCCTCTTTAGTCCGTCCATTTCTCCCCAGCTCCAGGGCAGGCCAGTACCCCCTCTCTTCTGGGCTCCTATATGGTGTCCTGCCCCCAAAAGTCCCAATTCTCTGCTGCACACGGAGTGGCGCTCAAAATGCCTCACACCTGCTTATAGTTAGCAGTCCCCAGCTTCCTTCTGGCTTCAGGACAAAGAACCAGAGTCTCTGCTGTCACTCGTGGGGTGATGATCTAGTCCGACCTTCCTCTAACTGGCCTCTCCTGTGCCCTACTCTCTCACTTTCCCCTCTGACTACCACGGTCTCCTCTCAGTCTCAGGTTCCCCTCTTCTGCATTCCAGAACTTTGCTCAGTGGTTCCTTCTGCCTGCCACACTCGCACCCCCACCCATTCCCCAGCTGATCCTATTCAATGTTCAGAGTGCAGAATAGAAGCTTACTCCTTCACGGAGGCCTTTTCTGATGTCACCTGCAAAGGCTTGGCCAGGCCCCCTTACACCTTTTCGCAGCATGAGAACTTCCCCTGCTCTCATTTATCCCAACTGTACTGGAAACCCTGCTTGCGTGGCAGAGGTGCTCCATGTATGCATTTTTAATGTACGTCTTTTCAACTCCCTTTCGATTCCTACCCCTTAAATGTTTTTCAAGGTTCCAACCCTTTTCCAAGAACGGAAAGTTGGCTTTTCTTTTTGTGTTCTGCATTAGTGGCACTACTTCTGCTCAGTCCCCTAGATTCAAGTCTTCCCGGGTCTCCTTTTCCTTGATGACACACATCCACTGCAGTCCTGCGGAGCCTATCTCTGCCATGCACCACTGCTTCTCCCTAGCCCCCAGGGCCCCCGGGCTCCAGGGCAGCCCAACACCACCAGCTCCCTCAGCCCCCAAGACAGGGTCGGCACCAGAGGCTCCCCTCTCACTAGCCTTGAGTATTTTTGTCCTAGTTCATGTATTTCTTCGCTCTTCTATCACCCTTCTAATATGCCTCATCTCCTAACGGTCTGAGCTCTACTGTTTCTCCTCCTATCCCCGCAACCTCCGTGTTCAAATTCTGCCCATTTTCAAGGTCTAGCCCAGACACCTCATCCAGGAAGCCTTCTTTCAGAGATGTAACTCCATCTCTGTATTACACTATCTCCATACCTCATCTGCTTCTTTACTTCCCTTCTAGTGTCTTGCAGCATGTCCTGCTCTGCCTAGCAGGTGATCCGTTGTCGAGGTTCCATCCCAGCTTTCAGGATGGGGAGGCATGTAAATGAAAGCTCAGGCCATATTCACTACATTTATGGTTTGTGACTAGAGAGAGGGAAGTAAAATAATATGCCAATCAAGACGTGATTAAAGGAGAGGAGAAAAACCCAGAGAATTCTCACCTTCCACATACAATGAGCTTAATTGCTATTTCTCGTAGATGGCGAATGAGGCCCTCAGGACCTTCGGTGGGTACTTACATAGTGCCCGATGGTGCTGGCATAGGTATCAGCAATCCAGGACATCTCCCGCTCGCCCGTGCTCATGTCTGGGGCAGGCACATCGATGCCAGGACCTGGGGCACAAGGAAAGGGCAGTGTGCCAGCTTTTAAGATAAACTCCTCTCAAACACATAGATCCTTGGGATTTTCTATAATAACAAAGCTACCACTGTTAGAAAACTTTAGATTTCATCTGTGTAACTAATTGAAGCCATTAGTTGAAATTAGCCACTAATTGAAATATTTGCTAAGTGTTTCACCACACAATTATACACACACACTGTTACATAGTAATTTCTTATGGTGGCGTTTCCTGGCTCTATGTTTGGAGGTTAGCTCTGCTGTGACAGATGTGAGCCACTCAACTGAACTTCTGAACATGTGAGCATAAGCAAATCAGTGTACCCCTCTTGACGTCAGTTCCTTGAACTGCAGTCAGAGTAAACAGTACCATCTTGCCCTACAGAAGGAGGACTCTTACGGTTAGGGAGTGTATGAGTCTGAGACAGCACAGAAACACATCACTTCTGGGGGCGGGGGTAGGGATGGGTAAGCCCTCCCCACCAAGTAGGAAAAGAAGAAAAAGACACACTGTTGAAGCAACTGAATTAAGTCCCATAATACCTTCACACCCGTGCTTTGGCCTGTTGTTCAAAGCTTACTCAGTGTATGCAATTTTAAACCTTAGCTTTCAATTCCTCAGATCACAGAAAATTAAAAAGTTTGAGGATAATAAGAAGTTAGTCCACAGGCAGCAGCAGCAACAACAACAAAAAGTCTAGTGACAGCACTAATACTGATGGCCACACTGAGATCTCAGATAAAAATGCGTTAAATGATGCCTACTCAAATCGGCCAAAGTAGGGATACACAGAAATACATCTCCCGAAATAGTAAGAATCAAAACAACCTAAGTATCTAGTGAGTCAACTAAATAAAATACAGTGTTTCTATGTAAAAAATATTCACCGAAACACACGTGGAAAAAAAGCAGGTTTCACACAGCACGTATATAGTATGTTCCTATTTAAATAAAATTCTTTTTCCCTCTCTAGTTAGATCTGTGTAATATCTAAGCATCTATCCTTCCACGTGTATACACTGTCTGCGTGCAGAAGTTTCGAAGGACACGCTTACACTTGTTCATTAGGTTTCCATTTCGGCCTTGTTTATAACTTTCTATATTGTGTCAATTGTATCATACAAACTCATTACCTTCATGAAAAGGAAAACACAACTTTAAAGATGATTAAACTATTTAAAATTTTTTTTTTAACGTTTATTTATTTTTGAGACAGGGAGAGACAGAGCATGAACAGGGGAGGGTCAGAGAGAGGGAGACACAGAATATGAAGCAGGCTCCAGGCCCTGAGCTGTCAGCACAGAGCCCGACGTGGGGCTAGAACTCACGGACCGCGAGATCATGACCTGAGCCGAAGTCGGCCGCCTAACCGACTGAGCCACCCAGGCGCCCCAAATGATTAAACTATTAAGTCTGTCAAATAAAGTTCTTTCTAAGGGCTGTCCCTGAGTTCTATATTTTTTACTTTTTAACCAATAGAACAAGTACGTTTTAGTATTTTCCTACATCTCAGACGCCCAGATCCTAGGTGATGTGTTTCTCTGCACAAGTTGTGATGCGATGGACACAAGATGGCATAAGACAACTGAGAAGTGGTCAAGCCTTGCTTTTTACAGTCCTGCCCCTCCTCCCGGCAATCTGTCACCCTCCTGAGTTGAGTACCCTTTCCTTTAGGCAGCTTCTAAACCTCATGAAGTCTGACTTCCCCAAAGTTACTCTCCTTCCATATAACTCTCCTACTTGGAAGGATTCATTCCACATTCTAGCCTCATCCTCTGACAAAAGGGCTCTACCATCCCCATTTGCTCATGATGTCCATTCCTTTAGAGTGACATACGTCGAGGATGTGAGTAAAGATTTGTTTAATCATACTGCTTTTCTCCCAAGGTATCAATGACAAATTGCTCCTGAATCCTTCTGGTAGTATCTACAAAAGTATTTTAGCAATATCAAGGGTCAAGTAACCTTGTTGGCTCAAATAACAATTCCAGTTGGAGAAGGGCTATTGGCAAGGAGCAAGTATGAGGAATATAGTTTGCAAATCAGGAATGTACCATGATACATTGCTTCTCAAAAACCTCAATTCATCTAGACAGCCTAAGGTGAGACAGCTCTCTCTACCCAACGCCAAAGTCACAAAATATTATTAGGCTTGTGAGTTTTCTATTCCACACAAAAATTGACATTCAGATCACAAATAGTTCCTGAGTTGCAGAAAAATTCTCAAATATCTTACAGAGAACAGGTCTGAAAGCCCATACCTTGTAGAACATGTAACTACCCTCAGGAAAGCTAAAATGCCATCACTCAATCCCATAATAGTATAAAGAAGGTGAAAAACTGGCTGGAGAGTGCAGTTGCTTTAACAGAGCATGAGCAAGAGCTGAAAGGGCAATTCTGGTGCCTGATACACTAGGGGAATAAAAGGAGGGAGACATCAGGTTATTGCAAGGGAACTTCACGGTTTGCAAAGGTGGTACCTAAACTCACACAGCAGAATTAGCACCAACCTTCACAAGCTTTAAAAAAAAAAAAAAGACATAAGAGGAGAGAACACTTCTTTTTTTT